ATATCTTTCATTTTTTAAAACACTCTTTATTCATGTTGACGGCATTTTGTACATCTTTGAAAGTTTAAATTGATTTCTTTTTGTAAATTCAGCTAATTCAATTTATTTGAAGTGTGTAAAAATGCAACAATGAAACATGGTTTTGTGCTGACTGTATAGAAAAACAACATTTTTACGGACACACGTGTAACTTAATTCTATTCTTTGGGGTTATGCATTAATCTTATTATTGACAATGTCACAAGAAAGCTGACGAGTTTATCCTGACAGATATCGGATAATATACAAAAACCATTGTGAAATATTTTTTTAAAAAAGGTAAAAAAAAATGAAAGCATCAGTTTCAATACAAATGAGAATAATATCAAGAACAAAAACTTAAACATTTTACTTAATGTATAGAAAAGCTAGTCGCCAAAAGCATTACTTCATCTTTATTAAGATAATCAACAGGTCGTATTACATATGTATTATAAAATACAAAGAGGAACTTGCAAGTTATTCCGTTATCGTAATACATTACTAACATTTTCTGATACATACAAGTCGAACATGATAACGTTTGTATTATTCGGTCAAACCATTATGCTAGAATAGGTTGGTTGTACAGGTTATTCAGTTATTATATTTTTGCATTTTTACTGCAATATTATAGAAGCAATAAATACGTTATTTACGATGAAATATTGGAGTTATAAAAGCATATTGAAACTACATTTATATTATTACTAAGGTTATTTCAGTTATAGATATCTAGTAACACACTTATTGACGACGAGTTAAAAGTGTCCTTGTTCAGAGTTCCATCAAAATTGCAATATAATTATTTCACAATTTAAAATGTAGATTTGTTCTTTCTGCAATGTCGTTCTCTTATACTATCCTCTGGCAGCACATTTGTTAGAGAGGTCTAGAAATTAATCAACAAGTAAGCGGATCAAGAAAGTAAATTCGACAACTTTATGTTGACACAGTCTGGTCACTTTCTTAATTTGGTCATTTTATTAAGTAATACCTCGAAGCATTGCGAAGGAGAAATGGAAATTAAAATAAGTCTCTGAACTAATGCACAAGGTTCAGCAATCTAAGTGTATGTTGTGACGCAATGCAATTTAATTTAGTTTGGCTGATCATGATTTCAACAATTTTGTTTTCTTTAAAAACTGTTTTGGGTAGGAAAAAGATTACAGTGCACTCATAATTAGAAAGTGTAATGTAATGGGTGACATTGTTGGCATATTTTTAGAACAAAACATAAAAGGTATCATTTCGCATATTCTAGTAAACGCTCAAGTATCACCATTACGTTTATGAACAGTATCTAAATACAATAATAAAAAACACATTACTGAAATAATCTTTCCGTCAGTAACTTTTGTAGACCCCTTTTCAACATACTTTTCAGGAAATTTAAGAGTAATTTTCTTTTTGCTAAACATCAACATTTGCATGTAATTTATATCACTCAGAAATGCCATGCAGATGTTTATTGCTTTTTCCATGGATGTAATTTAAGGGTATCGCTAATTTTTAAACGTCACTACAATTTCATTTTTGAAAGTATTTAAAATTCACACCAGACTTCATCAGTTTTTAGTTACTGTATTAAACTAGATCGACTAACCATTGCCTTATATCAGCCAACTTCCTTGATGAAGCATTTCTTAGCAGGATTACATTTTTATTGTTTCTGAAAGTAACAAGCCAAAAAAATACTCGTTTGCCAATGCAGTAAACTGCATTTAAAATGTATATAATTGGTGTTTAATTTCTTAGTGTGGCGTAGGTAACGATGAATGACTATTATAAATTAAAACCGCATCAGCTTCTTGACTGCATAAAAAGCACCACTTGGCACATCAGAGAAGAAAAATTTCTTTTTTTATGCGATTTCCTAACCGTATCTAAGAAGGGAACTGTAATTGAGAATATAAATTAATACGCTCAGGAAATTTGATTATAATGCATTCGAAGAAGCGGCTTATTCCAGAAGTAATCCAATTTGATTAATCTAAATTAAATGTTTTTCAAAAGTACATATTCAATCTCGCAATATTTGGTAATTTAGTTTGGTTCAGCGCACAGCGTATCTGAACTCTAATTGCAGACAGTAGGTGAAGATGTGTAACACACTTACCAACAAAAAACAAATATAATTATTTCATGGGGTGCGTTATCAAGTATGATACTAAAATAACCAAACTAAATGATGATGCTATTGCATGCTTTCCATATAAACCAATTCTCCTTATTACCAATCTGGCTATATACTCCTGCATACCACGTCAATGAGCGGTTCAAGTAATTTATGTGCTTATTGCGATTTTATGTCCTTTAATTGCTCACTTTGTGCAGAGAACATGCTGATACTTCTACTGGGTGGGATATTTTGCATCACTTCTTCAGATATTCACTTGATTTCGCTTGTCTATCCTCTTTATTACAGCATGGTCTAATTCATTTGCTCTTAAAAGATATTATGTCGTATATAAAATAAATACGATATGACAGCTATTATTTTGATTAATTTATGATCATACTATTGTCATAAGCCAGGAATGAAACTTCTCAGATCACGTAATTTAGTGTTCATAAAATGACATAATTGTGTTATAAACCACAAGAAAATGCCTCCTTATTCCAAACCTATGGCACCGGAATGCCATTTATTGCATGTTTTATTGGATAGACGAAGAATTACGATGAATTTATACGGACGTTTGCGACATGTTAAATAAAAATGATTTGATTATAGAATTTATAAGTGCCTCTTTGGTTGACATTGTCATTGTTTATATTACTAACTTTCGTAAAGTCGTGTTATTTTCTTGCATACATTGTAATAGATTATATATAAACAATTTCATGTGATGTATTTATTTTTATATTTACTTATGTCAGATTTTCCAAAATTAATGCATGGAAGTTTATATAATTCTTATATAATCGATTATAAAGATCTTGAAAACTTATAACTTGTTTTTTTTTATAATTAATGCTAGTGTCTGATATAAAAAAATTGGCAGATCCTCGCCCTTCCTTTTTGTCTGAGCCTTGCCTGATAAATTGTATAATATCACTTTCTTGGTTTTCTGTTTATCATGTTTGCAATTTTATTATCCGTTTCTTTCATTAAATTTCAAATGAAACAAAACCGAGTTGATGTCGCGCGCAGTAATATGCCAAGGGTCATATCTTTAAGTAATACTCCCAAAAGGTATGCAGTCAAATGTAAGAAAGGCTTTTCAAATCCAAGAATGTGTTCGATTCAAATTTAATCAGTGTTATACTTTCAAACTAGTAAGAGTTGAAATATTTTAGCCTTTTACTTTATTTCAATATGTATTGATGAGGTTTTTGATTAAGCTGATGTTGAATAATAAATCTTAATTAACCAGGCATGCACTTTATCAACAGAAATCAATGTAATGATATGATCACATTAATTAATAAGTTCTCAAACAGGGTGTATTGACAATTTTAAACGATTGTTAGCCTTAAGCTGCCTGTGTTATTAAGCCAAACTCCGTTTACACACGACCATAATATCTGTAACAAGTCTTTATTAATTATAGCAGAATGATGATACTTCACAATCCTTTTACTTTCGTATTAAGCTCGACTTTTCGAAAGGAAAAGGACAGCAATTTTTATCACCCAGACATCGGTGTCACACATTGGTTAAATTTTACGTGCAAGTTGCTATTTCCAAAATTACTTAGAAGAATCGGTAAAAACTTAACACACTTATTTTAGAGAATAATACGAGGTCACATCTTTAACATGGTTTAACTGGTTGTGAAGACATATGGAGACTTTTTGAACTAGGAAAATCCCTATTATCCAGGTTCTAGTTTAACTATACAGTAAACTCCGCTTATAACGAACTCACTGGGACATAAAAACCTGTTCCTTATATCCGGAGTTCCTTGTAAGCATATAGCGAATTAGTTCCTTGTATCAGGAGTTTTTTTAGCGAACAGATTTACATAAAACTAACTTACTGTTTACCATTGTCTGCCATTTATGAAGAAAATTTGATTAAGAAATAGAAATATTAGTCATTTATTTATATTTTAGACACAATATCCGAGAGCGTTCTTTTTAGAATTTGAAAATCATTACTATTTCAGTTTTAGTTTTACTCCCTATCTCAATTTCACATAAAATATATTTTGTTTCTTAACTCTTTTCGTTTTCTTTCCATATTTGCAAATAAACAAGATTTTCGATTTTTCCTTCCTTTTATATTGAATATCTTCTATTATAATTTAAGGGTGACTTTTACTAATGTAAGATATAGATTTCTTTTCATTTAAATCAAGCGTACTTTGCACTTTGCAATGGATCATGCTTGCAAGCATGCATGATTATGTTAAAAACCGATTATGAATTATTATAATTTTTTTTTACACGAGCAAATATTTGAAGAAAATAAATAAATAACCATTTTATCTTGGTAAAGAGCTCATGCTAAAAATATCCTAAATAGAAAACTATACAAATTCAATTGAATAGATGTATTGAAGTATATACAACGACAAACGGTACATTCGCCCGAGTTTTAACCGTGCGAATGAAAACGCAAGTTGAAAATGCGGGATCTATTTACGAATAGCCAATATTTTGGAGTTCGTTATAAAAGTGTAATTTTCTGTACTATTAACTAAATTGGGACTAAAAAGTGAGTCTCTTATAAGCGATAATTCCTTATAACCGTGTTTAATATACAGTACCCATATATTTTTATATTAAATAAAGAAGGGCAAAATTCGGGCCGAAATATTTTGTTCCCTATAACCGGAAGTTCGCTATAACTGTGTTCGCTATAGGTGAGGTTTACTGTAGTCGGACTCTCTGTCCTATCGCCAGAATTATAGAATAACTGCGTGTGAATTTCAGAATCATATTTAAAACTCCTTTTTATCAGAATTTTCATCATATGCTTTTGTTTGAACAAAAATACAGCTGTGCATAAAAAAAACGATACAAAATACTAGTCTTATTCATGCGTTTTTATGTTCATTAAATAAACGACAACATCACAAAGTAATCCGATTGTTTGAATATCTAGCAAAACATTTTGCTTCTAGCATCCGTGTCCTCGGCCGCCATTTTGATGGGAGTCTGGATGGACCTGTGAAATATAATAAGTAGAAAAAAAAATTATAAATGTAACAAAAAAGATCATTTCAGATTGTAAATATTATGAACACTTTTTATAGACTGTTGGGAAATTTTATTTTGTTTATGAAAAGGGTGATTTTTAAATTAATTGGTATTTACGTACATCCAATTGATTTAAATACATTATATTTTGTATAAACAAGGTGACTGGATAAAATTTAAATACAGAACGTATTTTATTTGAATGTTTTTAAATTACAATAATCAAATAAGTGTTTTAACAAAGCAAAGATTTGGGAATGAATTCACTACTTTTCAGATGTAATTTTGTGTGTCTATTAAAGCTTTCAAAGACTGTCCTTTGCAATAAAATTGTAAGCCAAAAGTACATTCATTATGACGCACTATATTATCATGATTAATATAATTATATAAAGGGTGATTATCAATAATAAACTTTGCTATGATCGCTAGAAGTTCGTGATTCGTTTTTATAGCAATGACCTAGACAGTAACTAATAAAAGTAACATGCCGTGACGAAATTTTAGAAGCATAATATAATCTAAGTTAAAGGAAAATCTAGTCAACTTAAAAATAAAGTGTATGAGCAATTTCGTGTCATTCCCTTAGTCTGTTTGTCTAGAATAATTATACAAAATGACACAAAAATGAAGAGCGTCTAAACGATTTCAGTTCATTGGGTTAACAATAGCACAAAATACGATTTATTTTCTTTAATTTTCTTGTGCATATCTTTCCGTTTAAAGTGCCCCTTTAATTACATTTACGTTTTGAGTCTTTGTGATCTCAGTAGTGTCCCTTCATAACATGTAAGAAAAAAAAAGCAAACAAAAAACTGTTCGACAACTTACAGCGTGCAGGAAGGCGTTAAATTCCGCCGGCTGTATCTGTCCATCAGCTGGAATAAATTCAAGTTATATTTTATTTGTCACCTCATACCAATCAATGTTTTGAGTATTGGCACGTGCGACGTTTTTGATAAAGTTAAACGAAATGCAAAAACCTAAATTAAAATTATGAAGATTAAAAGAAATGCAGATTATTCTGAATAAACAATAAAACCAAATTTAATTAATGTTTGTATTGATTTTGTTTCAATTTTAATTTCAATGTTTAGAATATTGTCTTTTATCTGCAAGAAATATTATTTTACAAATATGGTCTGATACAGTTTATTATACGAAAATTGTTGTCACTTACTTGGATTCGTGTCGTACTTAAGAAGTTGTACCGATATATCGTCAAGGCACAATCGCTTGTCGTTGTTGAGATCGAGGTTGTTAAAGAAAGCATGTGCGGTGTCGTGATGGTCGTGGAAGTTATCAATCCAATTTCTAGTAAAGTCGTGGAACGACAAACATGTGCCGTCTAAAATTTTGAAAAGATATATTTGCTTTTTTATTTAGATGAACGTTACCGTTATAAATATAAAGAAACATTTTCAGATCAAAGCTCATAAAACAAGCGATAGATTATCACATAACCTCATAAAAAGTTGGGGTTATAAAATAGTGTTATATCCAAATTAAGTGATGGACTGACGTTGAAATATTTATTGTTTATAGAGTTGTTCTTTAATTTTTATGTGGCATTTTCTACAGACACCAGTCGCAATTATCGCTCAAACCGATGGTTGTGATTTTTAATTCGATGATTTAGATGATAACTTCCTTTTTTTCTGCAATATGGACAAAGTAAAGCTAATAAACTATATGTCTTTGACCCACACTAACATATAAAAATACAGAAGGACATGCAGACGGGTGGAAGGACCAGCAACGGATCAGAAAATTTATATAAATTCCCCTTTGGCGGAGGATAATTGTGAAACACGCAATCTGGTTTTTAGTCGACATGTGGTTAATGATAAAGATCATAACAAAGATTACAATCTCCCCAACTTATTATGTCCACTTTCAGGTAATATAAGGAACGTTAAAATATCTGAACTAATGGTGTCAAAGGACACAAATTATAACACAGAAAGGTAGTTAGGGATATTTTAAACAATCCTTATTTCTTAAAACATTTATCGCCTGTAGGAGCGATTACATATGTGCTGCAAAACGAGAACTTTAAATAATTGTAATTTATAGATGACACTATTAAAATGAAACTTCGCATGGAAAAAGATATTTATATTTACGTACTATCTAAATTCCAATCAGTAAGAAGTTCATCAATTAATTCACTTTGCTGAATGATACCATCCTTGTTTTTATCGGCGAGTTTAACAACTTCGTTTGATATTTGATCCACAGACCAGCACATATGGTTGGCTCTGTAAATATTTACATAAAACTAGATTAAGAGAATGAGATCAAAAAGGTTGTGTTTGGTGTATTGACGCATCCGTAACACCTGTTTTGTGAAGCTCGGTGGATGAAGGTAATATAGGGAATGTGTAGAGAGAATCGTTTGTATGACCAAATAAATGACATGGCAATATCAGCATGTTTATAACATCATATGTTTAAAGGGGATAACAAAAATATTATAATGAATTGATTTCAGTTCAATATTTTGTTTAATATATTTCAATAAAGAGAGATACACTTCACAATATGTCATGTCAATTCTTTTTTTGCACATTTAAGCATTCGTGAAAAATAACATTTTTTATCCTTTTCAGAAGAAATATGACTGTGTCACAGTAAAATACTGCAAAATCAGTCTTTAACCACAAATAACATGTAAAATATATTTTGGATCTTAAATGTATTTACCTATTTTAAACTCTTAGTACATTTTTCTCAATATTGATTTTCCTGAAATATTTTGGCTTATTTGGAGGCGTGCAGCTTTAAGCTAGCCTTGGCCTATTATTCAACCATTTATTAGTTTTCTTTGATTTCCGTTTCGGTTACTATTATTTCTTCTTATGTATCATTTAAGTGATTAGCCTGCCGGTGCTTTGCCTTCCGCCTTGTCCTGTATTTGTTTGGGCTCCTTACCAGTGGTTATGCTGGGTGGTGTTGGGGTTGCGTTCATTGAACGCCGTCGTTTCTTGTTGATCTTGTTTTTGATATTTTTGCCACTAAATATCCCAGATATGTCAGACAGAGGGTTATTTGTTCGTGTGTAAAATTCTTATTTTTTTACCGAGTGTGCCTCAGAAAAAAAACAACATACTATTGGTGTAGTAGCTGTAATAAGTTTTATCTATTTGATTATGGTTGGTTTGCAATTTTCGTTATTTATTAAACAATTTGACCTTTTTCCCTTTTTGTTACACAGGGGCCTTATAATAAATAGATTATCTATTAGCTGAAAGGAAATGCGCGGAACGTATTTCATACTATTAGGATGTCTGTTTAACTGAAAAGAATAAAATTATCTTTTGATAATTTTCAATTTGAAATTATCATACATTAGTTTTAAATTACAAAAAGAGTGTGGTATTAGTATGTAGATAAAGCCCTGTCACCATGATAAACGTTGCATTTATATTGTGGTAAAGATTATTTTTCAACTTACCCATATGTCAAGCCGACAAATACGACAAGAAATGCTAGAACCTTCATCTCTGTAAGACAGTAGCTACAAAGAGTAAAAACAATTTTCGGGTATGAATAAACACTTTCCTTGAAAGCTTAAAGGAACATTAAGCATCGAAAATGCGAACATCTTAAATGTTTCACATTTAAAAATAACTTTTGGTATCCTGAGTTTTCCCTTATTGTACAGTGTAAATATAACTGAGTAATTTTTGCTTATTTAAACTGATGTTACCTTTTAGCAATAAGTACATTTATCTAGGTAGGCCAAAATACCACTTTGTATCGCCTATTTTTAAAATTATTTTAGATAAGGAACTGTTTTTAATTAAAAGCATACGACATATAATTAATACATGATTTTATATTATTACAGCATAATAAAACATAACTAAATTTGCACAATTTTTACACAAAGAAATTTAAAAAAAAAATCGTTTATGTGGCTGAATGTGTCTTTTCTACAATTTTATTGTTCATCTATTTTTTTACAAAATATATGATCTATTCTTCGTTATGTTATTTTTCATTTAATAAAATTTAATTATAATAATTCTCAATCATGTAATGTGATATTGCAAAATAAAGTTGCAAATAACTTCTTTTGAATCATATAAACATAATAATGATAATAAAAATAGTAAGAAAAATAAGAATAATTAACAGAATATAATGAATCTTATTCGACGCGTAAAATGGACAACAATATGCTTCACTACCTGTACAGGAGAACTCCTTTAAACCAAATGACGAATGGATCGTGCAAGCCTGATAAGCTGTGTCAAACGATAAAAATTGACATTTCCTCTAACAATTATATAATTGTCCAACTTTTCCCTAATATCAGCACCTTTAGACTGATAAACGTTTAATTGTCGACCATACACCGTGTTTCGTGGATAAGCACTAACGTGTCACAATGACGGTTATATGATTATCGCTGTAAGAACACATCTGCGGATGTTTCTGAATTCAAAATGTCAATATTTTCATGTTTTAATGTTTAATTCTGCTTCAGCCGGTGCTAGTGGGCGTAGACGATAACGTTCTTTTTCCAGTACCGTCCATGAACATGCTCAATTTAATGGAACCTGCAACATTTACAATTTTGTCGTATTTGGCGTTCTTTATGGATTTAATTTTTCGCTATTCTAGCATAGTTTGTGTCAGCTTAATTGGTAATTACATGTACTGCATTAAATAAAGTCAATCGAACAAAAGTTGATATATACATGTATTTAGTAAACGCAGTAATTAACGAACAGAGACTTTCAATTGAATTCTTCATAGTATTTGATAGCGATGATGTTGTTATAATTATAGGGGTCAAACTGATATGGGCAAAGTGTGTATCTATAGAAGGCTGTCGGTGCCAAATATCTCTATGATATTAGTACAGCACGAATGGAAACAAGGTGTTTGTTTGATTAAATGTCACACTTTAGACCATGGTATCATGACTGTTGTTGATAAGCAATTATTAGATCTAGCATTTTTCTACTTCAGGTTTAATTCAATCATAAAAGAAGAGGCTTTATTATTTATGCTACTACTTCACAATGAGTAATAAGATATATAAATGTGAAGAGTCCGTAACAAGCTAAAAAGTGGGCCTGCAACATTTTTGATTTTACCGTTTTGGACGTTCTTTAGGAATTCCTATTTTCTTTATTTTATTGCAAGGTAGGCGTTGTTTGTGACATGTGGAGGCCGTACAACGTCGCCCCGTACAATCAATCAGAGATGTTATATTGCCGATCATTGAAAATCGTTCTTCACAACATAATTGTTGTGTTTATTTTTGGTACGTTTTAGTTTTTTTACTTTTCGGCATTTTTCTACTTGGGTGGTTGCAATATTCCTACTTGAATAATGTTGAAATGGTTGCCTGAATTTAAAATATGTCTTTTGACGTCTTATTTGTGATAGGCAGTCTTCAAAGCCTCAATTTCGTTAAATCTTATCTTGTTAAGGGCACACGTGTTTGACTTTACTTATGGACTAGTTTTTTTCTCTATTTTTACACCTTAAAATAAAGACTGAAACTTCACACTGTCCTTAAAAAAACAATAACGATTGCAAAACAAAAAACAAAGTATGTGTACATACTTCTAAAATATTGAGTATGCTCATGACTTTTCACTGTCACATACATGTGGGAGAAGTCGGTTTATAAGTCTCCAGCTCATAACTATAGATCTATCCCCATGGTGACATGACTCCCTCCTTTACGATAACACTGTCTTATGGAATGCATATTATAATTTTCCTTTAACTACTGATTTGCTCTGATTTAAATTTTCAATTTCATTCTAGACGTAACATCTTTTTGGACCATATTTGTATTTAATCTGAATTGCTGTTTAAATGGAAATAAGAGGCAAAGCATTTCTTGTATGATGCAACGCTTAATTTGCTAACGAGGAAAGATCTCCTCAAACTTCGCTATCGAACCCTATATAACCCCGCCTCAAACTTTACGTTACCTTGAATTATTATTCCAATCTGTATCATATTACAATTGTTCGATTTTTGATGTTTCAAGCATGTTTTACATAAATAAAATAGTGACAACATTTTACATTTGTTGACACTAAAATTCTGCGACATGCGCTAGCTCAGAAGTACATGAAGTAGCGACAGAGCGATTGAATGTATACCTCCGAACGATTTAGCTCAGTTTTTCACTAGGCGTGACATAATTATATTAAAAAAGGTAAATGATAAAACATATGTTACGGAATGCACTTAAATTGCATGGCGAAGTAAAAACAAAAAAAAATATCTTGATAACAATTCAAGCAAGATATACAGGTTAATGGATTCCTTGTCATTAGTAGAAATTAAAATAGATGATTTACTTTGGGCAACTGTCATCATTTATTGGGAACAACGACTGATAAATCAAAACATTAATTATACTATTCAATTAACAAGAATGTGCTGTGATACAGATATCTGTTAAGGATTATCATAATAATGCATATTTGGCACGTCGAGTTTCTCATTTGATAATTTCTCCAATAGTATCTAAACGCTATCTTGCTTTATGTTCACAAACTTATTTTGATATTTGGCAACAAAATAAAATTATGATTCAGAAGCATTATATGCGCTTAAAAAATCTTTTCATACTCTTATAAATGGTCGTTTGATATAAACTCTCGCCGAATGGCTCGGGCTATATTATCCAAGTACAATGTACAATGACACTAATAAATCAAAATTCTATAACACTGATAATATCAAGACGCATATCTTGTCTGATGCATGATTTATTGACTTATTGTTGTCTATAAATATATGTTTGACGAAAAACAAGATCAATGACTATCACGTTTTATTTAACAACGAAATTAATGTCATTTAAACCTTCAATTGGACATCTACGTACCAGGCCTCATAGAAGATTGACAAAGAAAAAATTAAAACGAATCGGCTATCATTGAAATCATATGTTACGCTCCTATTTTGATCTTTTCATTGGACTTTATCTGCAGTTTAGGTCAAAATCAAACACGTTGTCATAGTTTGTCAAGGTAAATCCTGTCAATTGTAGATAAGCAAGTCAAAATTGTTCACGTATTTAACCTTAATATGCGTCATAGAATATCTGTCCTTATATTGACCTACTTAAGAACATAAGACGTTTTTCCACATTAAGCTGATATGTGGTACATAAAAAAATGTGACTTGTAAATAATGGAATGTGAGAAAGTTTGCATTATTATTTTTTTATTATTATTATGTACAGACTAAATCAAATCGACTCAATTTGCAATTTTATTGTGATTAAATGTTTCTGGGTGATCATCTTTTTCCCATGTTTTCCGATTTTGCTCTGACCAGTTGCCTAACAACACTTAGCACATATTTATTCCAGCATTGTACAGACAACTCTTGAATTATGACTATTTGCAGTTAACACAAATTAAGTCGCCATTTACTTGCCCTGATATCAGTTTGATTACCATAACGGCAGTAATGTGATTATGATTACTTTCGATCATACCATATACAAAACATACAATACATGTACAAAACCATGGAAAACCGCATTGGAAAACCTGCAAGGTATCCGCCATTTATTGCACAATTTTGCGTTACGTTTTGCACGAATCGTACGTTATCTTCACAATCGGGCGTTACTGTATATACACGGTGTAATAGCAGATGAACATTGTGAGATGCCATTTAACGATAACCATGTGACCTAGCCATTATTTAGATAATTTGCGATCATTTGCATTGTTGAATTTTAACGTTTTTGCATAATGCAGTGTGAATGAAATTGAGATATATAAAATATGTGTTTCGAAACATTTCATTAAATAAATTTGAAAATCTTCATCATGTTATACTATTTTCCATAACAGTGTCACGCACATTATAAAACCCCAGCGTTTGCATGAACTATTATACGCATTTCAAAAAATGTTAAACAATTTTTAAATGATAGCCTTTTTACGACAAACTCCAGAGTGGTGTTTATGTTTATCGATTTCTGTCGAACTTATAATATTGTGTTGACCCCAATAAAAAGCAAAGGATTTCTATCACAGGCTAGCAGTCCAACAAACATTACAATTTTTTTTGCAAAGCGTCTTGTTGAAAGTATCACAATAAAAAATGGGACCATAAAATCACTAATTAGGAGATTGACTAAGACAAACACTCGAAGAATTTTATGACTGCGATTCCAATCAATTTGTTTTGATCCTAAAAACACAACAAAACACGTCTTTAACGTAGTTTACGTAGCAAGTATATTTTCATGTAACAATTAGAGTTTCATTATGTTTCACGTTCAAAGAACCCTTTTCATTAAATTTCGATCATAATTTCATTACATGAGAAACCTTTGTTTATTAGATTGGTAAATGAGCGTAAACGTTTCCTTTAGCCCACAGTTCCTCCTTCCTACATTTCTCAGGATTATAAAGGATTGATTGACATCAAGTTCCATGTCATTGTTGGCATTTTCTGTTTTCATGAGTTTTTTGTCAATTACTGCCCCTTAAATTGTCTTGCTATGTGCATTTTGTAACTCATTCAAACTGATTGTGTATAATATATGTGATCTTGGCTTTATTTTCAAGTATGCTTTATTTTTAAAATAATAAAGATTTTGAGCTGAAGACAAGTTTTCTTAGAGTCTGGTTTATGTCTAAAAAATTGACTACGTAAAAGAATCAGATCTCAATGTGCCTTTATCCATAGTAGTATTATTAACCAATGAAATGGATTAGAGTTTAAGGTCCAATTCTCGGTCAATGACAAAATAACTGAAGAGACGGTAATCATACAATTCCGGCTTTTGTTTTACGTGAATGAAAGACGTCATCAACACTCATTAAGGCTTATTTCTAGCTACACATATCGTGTATCACATAAATCTTACAGAACGCCGGAAACGACAACATAAAAATTGATACTTAAATACTGGAAATATACCAAGGTGATCATGGAACCTTTAATGTCACACTTCACTGACACTTTTGTGTATGCGTATGATCCTTACGTAAAAGAATCAAATTGCCCTCAACGAACTATTACGGCTGAACTCAATAAAGTTTGAATTCCAGGGGAAATCTGAGGTTATAAAGCAATCAAAAAGTGAAACTCTGTACCAACAGTGTCCATGTTATAGATTGTACATTGCGGTAGATCACTGCTTATAATTTCCAGTTAATTTAAAACTTTATTATGCCATACGTATCTGAGACCATGCTCTGTAAGTAAATCTTCTACATTTGAATCCCAGTTTTTAGCCCAATCTGCCGAAGA